AATTGCAGCAGACAGCAGTAGTTTCCCCTACCAAAGTGGTGGTTTTCTACCACAGACGCTCGTCGAGGTCGGAAATTCCAAATACGCGGCGGCCGGCGGGCCTTGAGTTTAGGTAAGCACGTCCGGCTCGTTAGAAGAGCGAAATGATCGTTGAATGATTGTTATCGATTCGATATTGGAATTGTAGGCATAAACTAAGGCTTCACGCGCTACCCGTTGGGGGGCCGGGCGGGGGGCAAAGGGCCCCCCTGTGGCTTTCGCCGATAACTCAGAATCGGCTGCGAATTTCGACTTGACTAACTTTCAGCATCTCTCTGGACATCAATTTTACACAACTTCTGAAAAATGAAGTCCCAGTTAATCTCAGGTCACGAGCTATAGAGGTCAAACTGAGGTCATGTTCGGGGATTTTCGTCAAAAAAATTGTTAACGGAGAAAAATCGCAGAAAATCAGAGTTTCAACTTAGCGACTCAAAAATTGAAATTAAGCTATAAAAAGCCTGGCAAACAAAATAATTATCTCGAAATTTCCAATATATAAAAATCCCTAGATCTAGCGATTTTCTAACTCAAAATTTAGATTTCTTGGGATATTTTTGAAATTTGGGGAAATTTTCCAAAAAATGGAATATAATTCAGAGAACCCCTTATGGGCCTTACACATTAAAAAAATTGACAAAATATTTCTAAAACTGCCAGAGATATAGCCATTTGAATGACTGAAAAGTAGCGACTGTTCTTATGACGTCGCAATAATTTCGGCATTTGTGCTTGAAATCAGTCATGAGTAATATTTATGATACTTATCAACCTCTTCCTGGCTGATGATCCTTTACGTGAGTAAAATCACTTTTAGGCAAAAATTATTTTTCGTTGTAAGCCGTTACAAATCGACCTTATTTGACCTTCCTGTGACGTCATAGGTCCAAGAAAAATGGTCGATGAGGTTTCTGTGGATGCATATATATGACATGTCTTCATACAGACTCGAATATTTCCAATTTAACATGCCTTACCTTACGATTCAGACTCAGACTCAGACGTGTATTAAGGAAATCCACTAAAAGCGGCTATTACATCCTCTCGTCAAAAATTAATTAAAACGGTGGTTTCAAAGTCAAGATAAAGAGAGACAAGCATCACAATCACACTCGCATACATCATAGTCAAGATAATACAAGAAACATAGATACAGACAATACCAGCACACATACACACCTCAACTCAGTCAGGTTGGATCCGTCAGCAGCCGCCTGAGGCGGTGCTTAAAAACAGGCACCGGGAGCCCGAGCAAATCGGGTGACAGGCGGTTGTAAAGAACCGGACCACGGCTGATGAAGCGCCTCTTGCCTGCTTCGGTTCTAGATCGGAGCACATATAGTGAGTGGTCCTGTCGGGTCACCCTAGCTTGCGCTCCTAGTGAGCTCCTAGCGGCAGCCACGGTTGACAAACCGGCGGCTAATACCTCGGGCTCACCGAAGCATAGGCGTAGGAACAGGGGGGGCCGGGGGGGCCATGGCCCCCCCACTTTTTAGCCATTTTTTAAAGTAAAATCTTTATTTTTTATTTGAATACAAAACTAAGAGCAGGAAATGATTCAGCAAGGTGAGATGAGCACAAAACTGCAAAGAATTTCTTCATAGGGGTATTGGGGCTCCCACAAAGTGACATTGAAGTTTCGCTGGCCCCCCCACTTTTCGTGAGGTTCCTACGCCCATGCACCGAAGCGCAGCAGTTTGTGCACCATGCACAGTGTGCCATGCACCACAAGGTTCTCCGCGCTGAGCCAACGCAGCTTCTCAAGCAGGTCCGACACGTGATCATACTTTTTGCGTCCGAAAATGATTTTTGCCCCATAATTTAGAGTCTTCTGAATGAGTGCAAGGTTCTTCTTCGAACCGTTGCCATAGACAGTGATACAGTATCGAAGCTGCGAGAGAACCAAGGCGTTGACCAGCACGGAGATGACGGACGGAGGCAGGCGCCCCCTGAGATGTGATAGGCCACTGAGAATGCCGAAACAGCGCCGGGTGACGGCATAGACGTGAGTGTTCCAGGTGAGGTTGCGATCGAACGTCAGGCCAAGATTTTGTGCTTCCGAGACGGGAATGATAACGTGATCGCGAAATTTTACCGTAACATTTGGGGCATTGCGCAAATTTTGAGCGCTACCCAGCAGCATCAGCTGAGTTTTCCCGGCATTGACTTTTAAGCCGTTGGCACGGAACCAGAGGTCAAGAGAAGCTAGCGTCTGTTCCATCCGGTATACTACGTTATGAATTTCTGACTTTTTTCCACTGACCAAAATTTGGGTGTCGTCTGCATATTGAACTACGACTGCATCCTCGGCGAACAAGCTAAGGTCGTTGGCAAAAATGCAATAGAGAAGAGGGCCGAGGGCGGAGCCTTGGAAAACACCGATGCTGTTGGGGAGCGGAGATGAAGTAGTTCTTCCACCCAGAGCGTCAGTGAGGCTGACACTTTGGGTGTGGCCGTGAAGATATGCCGAAAACCAAGCTGTATCAATACCATGAAGCTGCAATTTAGTCAATAATTTATCGTGGTCTATCACATCAAAACATTTGCTCAAATCCAGCAGGCAGAGAAGGGATAGCTCTCCACGGTCGGTAGCGGATAGGATGTGATCGGATATGGATATCAGCGCGGTTTCAGTCGAGTGACGAGGCCGAAAACCGTGCTGAGTGGGGGAGAGGAGATGGTTGTTGGATAGGTAACTGTAGAGCTGTTGATGTACGGCTTTCTCTACAATTTTGGATATAATAGGAACGATAGAGATTGGCCGGAAATTTGATGGATCTGAAGGATCACCGGTTTTGTGGATGGGATGTACGAGGGAATGTTTCCAGACCTCAACGATTCACGAAAGTGTTTTCTGATTGGTCGAGGCTGCCCTCTGTTGTGACGTCACAGGTCATCATCCACTCAGGTGACTATCCACATGCCAGATCTATCATATAGATCATATCCAAGCTCATTTTGGAAACTTATATTTCATTTTTATGACCGATTTCTCGTCAATGTAAATTGGACTGATATGACCTTGCTTGACCTCCCTGTGACGTCACAGGTCAATTATTAAGGTCATCGATATCTTATCTTGTGCATCTCGATAAGCTCTTTCGAATGCCGTTAGAATTTTTTCGATCCGGCTATTGGTTCCGGAGATACGACGGGGGCCCTTTGCCCCCCCCCCCTCCCCAACAGGACGTGGAACCTGCCAGACCTCAACGGGGCGCGGGTTAGGCATAACTCGCGTACCGACGGGATGAGGTGACCGGTGAGGGGTCCGGGCCAATTTTGGGCGGACGCAATAGGGATTTTTTTATCTAGCACGACCTTAACCCTCGCCGGCACAGGCCATTTTGAGTCCTTCGACGGCACAGGGGGGGGGGGGGTTGGTACGACCCCCCCTCGCGTTTGGCCCCTGATTGAGCTAGAGCTTCGCGGAAAAAACGAACGTGTTGCCCGTCACGAGAGGAAGCCGATGATACCCAATTTTAAGGTCCTAGGTCATCGGGTGACCTTCCAGGTCAGGTCAATGACCCGAAAACCGGGAAAATCGGGACCTGTTAGAAAGTCGTAAAGTGTGGCTGCTATGTGGTTTTCCGGGGTGCTGATCACGAATATCGTATTAGTTTTGATCAAAGATGATGTCTTTAAGCATTTAGACCAGGTAGGGTCAGGTCAGGTCAGGTCAACCGGTAGGGGTTGTGACGGGTATTCGTAATACGTGTCAACCGCCTCGGACAGGTTCGTAACATGTTACGAAGGCACCAAAACTACTTCGTAAATGTTCAAATGGTTGCTAAATTCGAATTCAGCTCCAAAAACTAGCCTAGAAACATGTAAAACTCGAAAAAGTGAACAGAGGTCACCCGAGGTCACCAAAGGTCAATGACCTGACCTGACCTTCAGGTGACCTTGACACCCACCCTAATGCATGGGAGCAACATCAAATCACATGTTTGAACGTTTGAAACCACGAAAAGCTTGCAAACGCGCGGCTAATGCGAGCCGACATGCGCCGAACCGCGATTTCGGCCAAACATGGTCACAGAAAAGAGGTCACAGGTCAAAGGTCATTGGGGTCAGGGTCATGCAATTTTCAGGGTAGGTGTAAAATTGATCAATGCGAGGGTACTGAAAGTTTCGTCGCGATCGGCCGCTTTGTACGCGAGTTATTCGCGAAAAACCTTAGGGGGGGGGGGGGTTGCATCAACCCCCCCCCCCCCCCTGTGCCGGCGAGGGTTAATCGTAAAGGGTACTGGACGAAGCATTGGTTACTTCTCATAATCTACTTATGGTCCAGATTTACTTATGGTTTTAAAATAAAGATACCGCAGCGGTCGATCTACTTTCTCAGCCGACGTAAAATCACCTAAGGGCATTCTTCTGTCTCCTCCATGTGCTCACCTGCCTGCATGTATTCTGTACCTGATAACCTGACAAACAACAGGTTTTCTTCTCTGTTTATTTATTCAGTAGTCAGTAGTCACCGTTCACTTTTTCATAGCACCTACCCACCACCAACAATAAAAATAATAAACAACTGAACTGACATGGCATTATCTTTGCTTTTGTCCCGACGACACGCAATATTATGAGACACCAATACGTGAGATATCAATATCGTGAGACATAAATCTTGATATGTCAGTGTTTACAGCAAACAGATTCTTTGCAAAAGAGAATGAGATAGTTAAGCCACACATAAGCAAACTGTGAAATCGTGGTAGGTAACTACTGTGTATACCTCCCTACATACGCCGGGTATTTCACATTGGACGCAAAATAACCTACGATTATGCGACTTTTGTATTGCGTCATAGTATAGCGGGCACAAGCCCATGAAGCTAAAAACAATAGTTGATATTGCACGATCCCTGCACTCCCGCCAGAGCCCATTTAATTGCACTTGACGCCACCAACTTACACACCGCTTCACTTGCACTATTACACACAGCTTATGCATTTGTTTTTCCCATTTTATCACCAATATCAGGCCATCGTCATTGTCATCGCCAATTTCTCGGCAAACAGTTCATAAATGCCATAAACATCGGCTCTTCCGCTCAGAGTTTGGAGTTGGCCCTGGCCAGCACGCATCTGATGTTACCTGAGGGCTTGTCCACGGGTAGAAATACCTCGTCGTTGGTCGCGCTGCCCACGCGCGGAAATTTGGACAGATCAACTGAGAAGTAGTGCTTGTTAGGCATCACCATCTCGATTTCAGCCACGTCGGGCAGCCGGTTCAGCACCCTGACCTGCGTCAGGTACAGCGTGTTCTGCACCGACGGCGAGAAGATGCCGCCGCGCGCCGGCCCGGCGAACAGCTCCAGGATCGCCTCGCGCACCGCCGACCAGCAGGCGTCGTAGTCGACGGGACGCTGCGAGCAGACGTACCTCCAGCGCGCCGACACCACCGTCGAGAAGACGCGGTCCTTGGCATCCGGCAGAGAGCGGTACTCGTCGTTGACGAAGTTGACGAACGATGACTGCGTGGTCTTCAGCACCTGGAGACCGTTGAGCTCAGCCCAGACGGTGGCCTGCTGGCCGCGGAGCTGGCGCACCTGGCAGCCACGCTCCGCCTCGCGGACGGTCACAAAGGCGTGCTCGTGAGGAGCGTCAGCCGCCTGTATACGGCTCCAGGGGTGCTGCTTGATGAGGATATTGACGCGGTTGACGTGTGAGTACTGGGCGAGGAAGTGACGGCACAGGAGCAGGCCGAACTCCTCCGGCGTCGTCAGGCCGTGGTTCTTGGCCAGCAGGTAGATGGTGTTCTTCTGCGAGTCGGTGGCGATGATGGCTGAGTTGTCACCGCTCATGTAGTCGTCCTTGGAGTCCAGCGTCAGTTCGCTACACACCTCCCATTCGCGGATCGTGTGCTCCGGCCCGTTACGAGTCACGTGAAGTAGCTTCACCCAGTTCTTTCCGTAGTTACTGTCGACAATCTGATAAGCCATGATGATGTCCTTGTCAGCGGGCGGGGAGACGAAAATACACTGTACGGGGGACTGAGGGAAGTACGCGACTGTGGCGTGGAGAGCCTGGTCCGACCAGACCCGTACGTGACGGAATTGTTGACGTTTGGTCATCTGGCTGGAGTCTGGTCAGTGTCAAAGCAGACCCCGCGGGGGCCCGGCATAGAGCTGAAGGTTTCTGCAGTAATAGCCGTTGTTCTTCTAGGCAACACCAATTTGTGAAGCTAAATGCGAAAGCACCTCGAATAAAAACTGCCTACGATTGTTGGATAAGCGAATGTCAAATGGGTATTTTAAGCACTTCATTTTTCACAAAACATGACTGCGTTTTGCACGAAAAACTATAATCGTAATGGACGTGTTGTTGTTTAATGTCTATTTCCAACGATAAGAAAAGCAGCATAAGCCATGACGGTTGAACATGACAAGGTATTCCATGACTGTCACGAGCTATCATCTCCAGTGTCTGAGGGCTATTGTTTACATGAACCCAGCCGAGCCCTCCACCAAGAGAGGCGGGTGGAATGCTATGTGGACACGTGACAGGTTTGTATTGCGTCAGCTTGGCTCGTTCCTTTGACAAAATTATGAAAAGAGACAAAGAGGACAGGGCAATGATGATTCCACTATGGCTAAGCATTCAAGCTGATGCAGCTTTCAATACTATGTGTAGAATGGGTAGATCTTTGGAGCATAGGTATATTCAAATGCAAACGTCATTCTGATATCATAACAGTTTTTCCTCCGAATTATTAGAGGCGAGCATCAAATACCCTGTCCAAAACCTGTCCTGCTAAAGCCAGTGATGTCTTTCGACACTAACAGCGGTTCTGTTCGGCTTCGCGGGCATTAATGCGTCTACTCGACGTCTGCCGACAGCCGTCCACACACGTCAGAGCCAATTTCGGATGCTGCTGTAGAAGTTTTAGCAGCTGCCATCGCTGCTCACGCTCCACCGGAGACGAACAACGCCCAGCTGACAGTGACAGCGCCGCCGCGAGCAAAAAAACATAAACTTGCCGCCCGTTTCGGCTCGGTGAAATGCAAATCCGACTAATTCACTTTACTAATGGACGCGCCTGCACACTGCGAAAAACATCCACTCAGAGATTGACATTTGCATTCGCACGCTGGCCCCAAACGCACTGCCTTTGGTTTTGAAGTCGGATGCTTTGAATAAGGCCATCATCTCGACAAGCGATGCTGAGGCCACGCACAGAATTAGCGGTCGTTTCCTCTGTTCCAGTTCTAATTGGATCTCTTTCTTCGCGCCCGTGTTCGCCGCAGACGGAATACAAACGAGCATTCATTGGTTGCGAACGCGCTGGTGCAGACGGGAGGTGTTCAGAGCGAACAGATAGAATGTCTGCGCGAAGCTTGTCCCGCCTCGGTGCTGTCGGAGCTCTCCTCTTTGGCGAATTAAATCGTTTCTTCTAGGTTGAGGCAATTGTCTTGATGGAGCGAACAGGGTGGAAAGAGACATTTTCCATCTCAAAGTGCTAAGGAAATATTTTCTGGATGTTATCCATCATAGCGAGCCTGGTCAGAATTGCATGGCCTGGTTCCGTTCCGTTCCGTTTATTGATTATAATTTGGGATCACACATTGAACAATTTATAATTTATGGCACTGTCAAACGGCATTGGTCGGATAAGGATTCACGTGTTAGTTTTGTTAGAATACGGACAGTTAGTGTTAAAGGTTATATTGGGGAGTTTGACAGTGGTCGGCACCAGTCTGAAAACCTGACCGCGCAAGACGACCGGTCCCCAATTCGTAGCATTGTATTGAATAGCATGAAGCTGTTCTCTTTATCCAGCAGCACACCGAGCGAACAATGTTTTTTTTTGTGTGTTTCTTTTCAACATCCTTTTTCTCTATAACTTTGACAAACCTGACTACCCTAAACCACCGAATTATGGACGCCGTAAGGCGGCAGGGGAATTCTCGCCCCGGCACTGCTGATCAAATCTGACGCAATGCGCGGGGTACCGTGGCAGTCTGTGGTCTGTTGGCGGTCTTTCGCTGACACTGGTGTCTGACCGCGCCTGCCAACAACGCTGTTAGTAACAGTAAACCGCTCATGTTAGGTCCAGCTCATTGGACTGCCGGCCTGGGATCGGCATAGTTTCGATATAAAAAGGTTTGCCTGTCGATATGTCGCGGCAGCTTAGGGTAGCGCCGCACAAAAAATGTGCTGCATATTAGTTTTGCTTTATTAGACACGCAGTAAGTACACTCGATCCTTATAGGCACGCCATTTTTGTGAATCTAAGATAATTATTGAACCTCGATATACCTAAGTTCAGGTAGGAGGTAGTGACCATTGCCGGGGGCCCACCTATAACTTTTGTACCTTTGATAGCTTTGACTATTACTTATTATGCCCCGAGAGATCCATAATTTCCCAAAACTCGGATTTCGGAAAATCTGAGTTCGCAGCCTTACGCGTTGCGATGTAAATTCACGTTATGTTTCCTAATAACATTTCTATGTTTGTTTCTCAGCAGAGAGAACTTTATAAAATCTCTTCAAATTACTCACCGGTTTTGAGAATGATACCTTGTGCTGTTTCCGAACTAATTTTCGACAGGGTGCTCGTAGCGGAGGCCTGAGGGCCAGCTATATTAAAAATTAAAAAAAACACAATATTAATGTTGGGTTCTATGGAAATTCCATAATCCATTTAAACCAAAGCTGATGCTCTATAATTATATAATCTATAATATATAATTAAAGTTATCTTTTTTTCTTCTGCACTCACAAAACACCATCAAAGGGATTAAATGGGATTTGCCATTCTTGCATTATTTGGTACATACATCAGTACAGAAATTTTATTAGCAAAATTAGCATTGAAGATCTAATCCTATTCACAAGCTTCTCCTCAAATTATAGTTGATTTCCTCGGCACAGCAAAGACGTGACAGCCGGCAGGCCTCGTTGAATAACAGATTAGCGTTATCACGTTTTACATCTAAAGCGCAACTTCTCCACTTTATGATCAGAAGTAAATTTTCACTTATACGGAGCTGGCCGCGGTCGTCCGATTTACGGTTTACTATCGACACTGCCCCACCGTTCGTATGTTACCGAGACCGATAGTTTATAAACCGGGCACAGGGTTCAGTGAAGATAAACGCAGTTCCAATGTCATCCAACTAAGGAATGAGTCGAGATCGGTCACGTTTATTGCGTCGAAGTCTACATTGCCCATCTTGCAATTGTTTGGGTTATTTTACTTTTTTGTTGCTACGAGTACCAGTGAAATGATAAAATGTGTAATCAAGACGACGCACGGCATGCATTGATTTATCTTATCAGGAAAAAACATTCGACCTGCAATACTGTAAACGGCCTTACACTTAGTACCATTTGGGGTGAAGTGACGGCGAAGTTACGTTATTTCATTTCCAGTTTATGCTTGATGCAAAACGGCTGCAGTCAAGTAATAAGTATTCTTCAACCATAATCGACCGCACACCCCACGCCTGCATGGGACTCCACACCTACTAAAAAAAGTACATACACTACTAGTAGTGTATGTATTTGTTTTCGAGGACACCGCCCCCACCAAACGCATCAATTTTCCATTCTAGCCATCGTGTCCAACTTCCTCCGTGCCTTCACTCGGTGACCCCTGAACTGTCCCTGAGCCGGAACCCCGGCCACAGGCACCCATCGCTCCTCGATACACCGCTCGTCCGTTTGTCGTTAGCATATGACGGGCTGCCGGCTGGCCCGGTCCTCTATCTGCCGGCGAACCGCACCTCAGAAATTGCCGCATTGTGTCTCTTGACTGCGTCCTGTCCGGGATACCGGCGGGGTGGGACGGAGGACAGCGGGGAGCGACCGGGGGCGGGGGGGGGGGGGGCACGGGCAATGGGGAAACTGGGGCAATGTGCGGCTCCAAAGCGGCAGGACAATGACTGTGACGGCTCCGGTGGGTCCGCAGGGGAGGCCGACAATGCAGGCGGCGCCGCGGAGGTTGGCTGCTGAGCCCAACAATACACAGAGTCAAAACAGAGCAGCGCCGTAGAGCTGCCGGTTTAACCGGATCAGACACGGAGACAGCGTGAAAATATTCGGGACGTCACAATACTGTGCATTGTGACGTCCCGAATATTCTGGCAGCTTTTCAGCCCACTGCGGGATGGGATTTGGCGGAGGGATAAATTCAAATGAAGGATTTATCGCTTTTTATTGAGCTGTATTCATTGGATGAGGAATATTTATTCACAGTTCGTCTGGTCTGATAAAGGTTTAATCATCGGGATTCATTAGGGAACAAATGATGATAATCATCACTCAATAATTCATGAGCCCCAGGCGAGCTCTGCGCGAATGACTATGTTCATAGTTGGGTAACTCAAAATCGTGATAAATGTAATGCAGTGTGGTGTCAAATAACGAACAACTTCCGACACCGTAAGCAGTCCAGCGTGGCACCAGGCCAGACGATAAAAAACACTTGTGGTACGTACATAAGCTAGTTTTTTTTTTGTGTGCATATTTCAGCTAACTTACCTATGATATGATACAAAGCAAATGCCTTCGTTTCCCATTAACTTCAGGTTGATTGTATTATGCGCTATTTTATGATTGCCACAATATGCCACCCGCTTCAGGAATCCACATTTAATTGGTCTGAATCACCGATACTCATTGCAATCACAGCAGGCAGGTGAGCAAAAATTAAAGTCAGCAAATTGGAATAGGCTCCGTTACCGCAATGAACTCGCTCCTTCCTTCCGCTAGCCCGACTCCAGGCTGTCTCCCTGACCCGGCGGCCATTCTCACACCTCCTGGCCGGGGGCGGCTACACGGCGACCCACCGCTTCCGCTCTCCATATTCATACACCACGCGACGCCTGCAATAGAGCGCCGACTCAAATTGCATATTGTTTTGGGTAGCATTATGCAAATGCCGCGCTGGTGAATTTACATCGGTACGGCTCGCGTTGGATTACCGGCATATTTCTCTAGGTGGGCGCAATATAGCGCCGCTGCGACCGCCGTTGTCGCGAGGGTTTTAAATAAGAAACTTCACTCCAGGGTGTGGTGCCAA